TTCGTGACAGAACTCGGCAATCGTGACAGAACGCGGGGTTCGTGACACGACGCGGAGGTGCCGGGACGATGGCTGGCTCGCTTTTGACTGCGCTCTGAAGAAATGCTTGCCCGCGTGATACCAAAATGCGCCCCAGGAAATACCAGAACCCACTCCGCTCTTAGGATGCAACAGGAGCATCAATAAACGCGGGGTACAGTCACTTAGCAAAAGTCTGGAACCCCGCATATGCCGCGCGGACCATTGGGGGAACTATAAAAAAGTGTGGAGGAGGACTGGGGCTGAGCTGTACGGTGTAAGCCCAAAACTGGCACCACGCGAGTCAACACTGGCGGAGATGGGTGGAGCATGTTAAAAAATCTGTCACCACGGCATAGCTGGTGTCGCCCTCTGCAGCAAAATCACCACCACAACGATTATATTACCTTGCTCATAATACACGTTACCCGACCACATGACCGCAAATCTCTCCACGTGAAATAAGTCAACATCCTATAGTACTAAGTTATGTAGCGAAGTTACTTTCTCTTTACATATTATTGAGAACTAGGATGAATAGTAGTGGTCAACAGTAGCCGTAGATAGTAGCCGTAGTGAATCGTTGAGAATTCACAAAGTAATCGTTGATCTATCTATTGTTTCTATCACGGCTTGCCCCTCTAGATACACTAACAGACACATGCGCAGAATTAATTAGTACCGTGGCTTTTACGTAATAACACATTCCTGTGATGCAGGGAACTGACTAACAACCTGATAACAATCCTTTGAATTACTCGATACTGCTCTTGCAGGCCCCACGGCCATCTACAACTGCTCCTCTGCCGACTAGTCCACGATTCGCGAGGAACACGTCCTGCCCCAATGTCAAGATGCTGTTCGGATGTGTAGGGAAACCAACTAAGGTGGTGGCGGCTTGATTACCTTTAGCCGGTGTAGGATGCATTGGACCAGCCGCATGTTTCCGCTCTTTGGTAAGTCAACCACGAGTCTTGAAACAAGTACGCCCCGAAGCCTTCCCAACCCGTCTTAACCTTGTCATCAGGCAGATGTTTACAGCTCGAAGGGTCGATACCGAGGCGGTGCTTGTACGGGAGAGGATCGTTGCCGAAGTAGAGGCTCGTGAGGGCCTGGATGTTGCCATTCGCATCTTTCGAGTTCTCGACGATGCATTTCGAGCCGGGCGGGAAATGGCCCTTAAGGATGCACTCCGCAGCCCCTATGCTTTCCTTCCATAGGATATTGAGCCAGCTGGTTCCCGCCCAGTTGGTGGCGTAGCAACAGTCTTTGGCTATCGTGCAGGTGATAAAGGCCGCGTATGTGAGAAGGTAAATGAGAAATGCGGATTGCATGGTGATGTTGTCAAGGGGCGTGTGCTAGTACCTAGTAAACGAGTTCCCGGGAGAGAGTCGGTACGTGTGTTGTTGGTGATGGGCGTTTATTTGTATCGGCGATTCTCGCGACTCGTATCAACGTGTGATATTTCCTCTTTAACCTTTTTTTTTTTTTTTTTTTTTTTTTTTTTTTTTTGGCGTTGCAGACAGAGGCAATATCAGACGAACTCCCAACTCTTCCGAGAGAGGGATGGGAGAATGGTTCTAAGGAGTCGGGGAGCGACCGGTTGCCGGTCACGCGCTTTACATGGAATTGCCTCATTCACTTCGCTCCCAAACCCCGGACCATATGCCCTGTGTTAGGGGAATTAGTATTAATGCATTAGGTAATCTGAAAAGTTACGCATGGCTTCTATAGACAGGAGGGCGGGGGCTATGTTTATCTTCAGCCTATAAGAGATTATTATTACGTACGAGCACTTACTTACCGCCACTGTCAAGCTCGCTTGTGGATCCCAATCAAGTCAGGGACGTACGTGGTCTGGTGGTAGGCAGGCAAGCCAACTTTCAGGGCGGGGCGCATCAAACCTTATTCATTGGAACTTGAGACTAGGTTGTAGTGCCGCCGCTTGCGGGGACCCCGGTTTCATGCGACGATTGTCCCGGTGGATTCGCCCAATTCCCCAGACGTACCTAGCTACAGTACGTCCTTATTCTTGCTGCTCCCGCCCGCCATTGAGTTCTTAAGCCCCATCTTGTCTGAACCCTCTTCTGCCAGTTGGGACTAGCAGCACTCGCTCCGCAACCGTGATGAAGTTCCTGAACCCCATCACTCTTTTTTTCGCCCTAGCGATTAGAGCGTCGCCGTTGAGCTCGGATATCGAACAAAGGGACCTGACTATCGAACAAAGGAACCTGGCTATCCAACATAGGGACCTGGCTCTCAGACAAAGGGATCTGTTGAACGATCTTAACTTGACGATTCCTGCCGTCCCCGCCGACCAATGCACCCCCTCATCTCCAAAAGGGTACGACATTACCCTTTGTCTGTATTTTACAGCCGGACAGTCTCGCTAATCCGATGAATCGCTGGACAGCATCCAGCCGGGCTGCTGGCAGGCTCTGGATATGAACAACTATCTCAGCGTATGGATCAATATCTGCCTCAAAAGTACCCCAGCCTAACATAACCATTCAGACCTGGTGGCAGAACAATGGTGCGACATGCAATTCGACAAACAGAGGATTCGCCCAATGTTACCTGGATATGGCGGTATGTAGCTGCACAGGGAATGCTAGAAGTCAGAAGTCTCTCCGACTAATCCAGTTATAGGGATTAATCACATGGAGTTGCGACTTTATAAACATCAACGGGTGTTCACCGCCACCCAGCGGGCCTCAGATTAGCTATCACTCACCTCAAGAATTCTACGTTAGCAAGGCCCTCAAAGAACCTCCTTGTGCTTAACACCCACTGACCACTCTCACAGACTGTGTGGAACATTTACGGTTAGTCGACGCTCCCGGCAACTGATTAGAACCTGTCCTAGAGTGCCACTACTGACTGATATGACACCCAAAGCCATCAACCTCTTCTTCACCAACTACCAACAAGGTCTTATGCAGGGCCAGGCGGCTGCCATGTACGTGGTCCCCTTTTCCTTTTCTCGATTGATACCTGTGTGTTATCTGACGTTTCTTTGAATAGCGGAGCGGTCGCTGAAATCGTTAAAGTCGTTGCACCTCCGGTGAAAAAGAACACGGCAACTCCAAAAATCGGACCCATTGTTGGTACTGCAATTGGTTTGATTGGTGTAAGTGAAGACCCAGGGCGTTTGTTGAATGCAACACCACAAATTTACAGAGCCTAATACTTGTGGGCATAAAAGGCCTTTGGTCCTGCCGTCGGCATGTTGGGAGTCCCGGTCGTCATACCCTTCCTTCTTATACTGGCACCCTTGGGTAATGTGGGTGGTTTCGCCAGCATCTTGTTCCCGGCCGAGACCGTCAGCCCAGTCCCCTGGGAAGGGCTTTCAGAGGCTTTGGGAAATCAAGTCAATGACTTTCAGAAAAACATCGGTAAGGCATTGAATGCTGTTCAGACCGACTTTAACATATTCTTCGGCCTCACCTCGAGCGGCTTATTCAGTCAGGTGAGTTGTTGACCACAAGTCACAGCTTGTGTCCCTGTGTGCGACTGTTCTAACGAGTTGATGCTAGAAACTCCCCACCAAGCTTCCAGAAAACACAGATTATATGTATCACAGCCTCTTGAAGTGGACCTTTAACAGTGCGCTTGAAGCAAACAATTACTTTGTTGTAAAGAAGTTGGTTACAGCTGCTTATAAACCCGTTTCCTAATTAGCTAACAAGACTGGTAGCCCTGGTGTTGATCCAACCAAGATACCGATCGAGGCCTATGACTGCTCAAAGCTTGATAAGTTTGGCACTTGTGGGCCGATCTGGTATGACGGCTCAGACTCGTATGGGCTTGCCAGAGTTAACGGTACGTTATTGGACTGTATACCCCGAGCAATCGGTAGTCAGCTTAACCCCTAGGATAATAGACATTGGTATGGACCGCATGGAAGAGATCCTTAAGACAGCCTTCGCGAAGAACTGGACCACCCCACATGAGCTCTATATCGACGCGCAGAAATGCCGCGCGAGAAACTCCACCGAAGAGTTTGACATTCACGACCTGAGTTTAACCTGCCTAGTAAGTGTCGCTATGAACCTCTCGCGACGTCTCTCGAGCCCCGCCGCGGCTTCATTATAATGAGGCAATTGAAGTAACACACAAACAGAATTATTTACCAGTTTGCGAGTTTGAGTTTGATTATAATCCGTATGAGGCGACCTTGTATCACAGCGATCCATATCAGTTTAAGAATTGCCCAAGTATGAGGGGATGGGGTACTCCCCTGTACTGGGATGAATTAGCGGGAGTTCCCCTTACGTATCTGGGCCCATTTTTGGTACGCTTAGTCCCTTTTCCTTATACTATGGGCCGAGTCCTATATTACTTCTCCTTATGAAAATCAGATGTACTAATAAAGGGATCGGTAGATGTCTGGGGTAAGATATGATGAGAAGAAAGGCTAAAAAAGTATTACTTCTATATATAAATACCTTAGTAAAGAATGTTATATAAACCTTATATTACTTCTTTTTATTCTTAATTCTTAGATACTTAACGTATATATTTAATAATTTCCTAATAGTGTTTTTATATATAGTGTAGCTAAAAACACCTTACTTTTCTTAAGGTAGGCAACTTACTATAATAGATAGTATACTATATATATATATATATATATATATATATATATATATATATATCCAAATTACCTTAAATAATAAAAACCTGTTTTTAATTACTAGGCTACTTTATCTAAAGCCTTTTTTTATAATTAGAAGTTATAATAACCTTTATATATAATAGTATTCTTATTACAAGCCTAGTTTTATTAAAATAATAAATACTATTATTCTAAATTTTATATATTATAATTATATTTTCTTTAAGTATAAATTAGTCTTGTTTAATTATAGAATTTATAGCTAAGGCCTTCTAATAGTTAATCTAATATTAAAAGTATATTTATAATTATAGTTATTATTATAGTTATTATTATAAAAAGCTCTTTACTTAGTAAAATCTAATATATGTAATATTATATTTATTAAGAGTTAGTTACCTATATTCTTTATATTTTCTTATTATAGAAAGAACCTTTAATTAATTAAGTAAATAACCTTTTTCGAAATTACGTCTTTTATAAATAAAGTTATTTTAATTAACTTTAAATTTATTTTATCTAATATAATATATTTAGTACATTAGTACTAAAGTACTATTTAAGAAACCTAATAAGTAAAGACTACTTTTTAGAAAGATATTTTAAGGTCTTTTTAAATAGCTTATAAAGTAAAATTATATAGCTTTAAATTAGAAAGAAATCTATATTTATTTATAATTTATTATTGGTATATAATTTAAAAAGATATAAGGTAAAAAAAGTAGCTTAGTTACTATTAGACTATTAGTGTATTAAAAATATATTTATATTTTAAGATGTATTATTCTATAAAGAATTATATTTAATCTATATATATACTTATTAAAGCTTTTCTTACGTACTTACTTTACTTTTAAGTCTTTAAGGCTATAGATTTATAAGCTATTAACTTTTAATATATATCTTAGATTTAGAGATAATTAAGATAAAAATGTTTTTTTATGTTTTAGAAAAGAATATAAAATATAGAATATAGATAGTATATATTTAACAAAAGAATTAAATTTTAAGTAGCCTTAATCTTAACTCTAAAGCTATTTATATTTAAATATAGTAGAATTTAGTTTTAGTATTATAATAACTTTACTATATTTATAGTCTATCTTTAAGCTTTATAACTATAGTATACTCTCTTAGGCTTTTAATAAAAATATATTTTAGATATATCTTTCTTAAATATACTACTTACTATATATATATACTATAGTAAGTTATATTTATTTATAAGCTATTTTAAGTTTATTTTACTTTTTATATATAGTTATATAGTATTAACTACTATAAATAGTCTAATATAGTTTATAAGTAACTAGGTAATATAAGTAACTAGGTTACTTTCTACTACTTATATAATAATATTTAAAAGAAATTAACTATAATACTTTAAGATTATTTAAAGTATTTAAAGTTCTCTTCTTTAGAGATAGACTTAACTTTCTAATATATATAAGTCTTATAGCTAGGCTCTCTATAGATACTATATCATTATATATAAGCTTTTATTCTTCTTATATAACTACTACTTTAACCTAGTTTTACTTATAACTTACTTTATTATATTTATTTAAGACTATATATCTAATACGTAATTAGTTATAGGTGTTTTACTTTTCTAAATCTATTTTATTTATATAATAATAGTAACTTAGACACTTATTTACCTCTTAATACTTAGCTTAGTCTACTTATATTAAAGTCTATTTATATACTACTACTATTATATTTCTTTAGCTACTATATAAACTTTATAATTTATATTAAAAAGCTATTCTAGTATTATATAATTTAACTTTTAATTAAATTAGACTATAAAGTAAGTTTAATTAGGTTATTTAGTATCTTAAAGATCTAAGGTTCTAGTAAGCTTTTAAAAGAATATAGTAGTATTAGTATATAAAGCTTTAGATCTAGCTATAAAACTATAAAGTTAAGGCTATATAAGACAAGGCTAGTTACTATAAAGCTTACTTAGATACTTACTATAGTTATTACTTTATTATATACTTTATAAAAGGCTAAAAAGAAGTCTTCTTTTATAATATTTATAATATATACTTATATAAAGACCTTAATTTCTTATGTATATACCTCTTAAAATAGACTAAGACACCTAATATTAAGAGGCTAAAGCTTATATAATAAGTAAAGTAGTATATAAAGTACAAGAATCTTTTACTTTTTATAGTATAGCTTAAAATTAATAAAATAGTAGCTTTTACAGCTATTAAAGATAAGAAGGTAATAAGTACCTTTTATACTTTATATTATTCCTTATATAAGAAGAAAGAATCTACTTATTCTAGGCCTTTCTTATTTATTATTTAACTATTTTATATAAAGATAATTACTTAGATAAATAAGAAAAGGCTATTATAATTCTAAGAGTTAAAATAAACTTTACTTATAAAGATAATATATAGTAAAATAAAACATCTATATAATCTAATACCTTAGATTACTATAACCTAGTCTAAATTTCTTTATTATACTTCTTTTAGCTTACTATAATATTTTAAGGCTATAATAACTATTTTATAAGATATTTTTCTTATTATTAACCTAGTTTTATTAAAGTTATAAATATTATTATTATAAATACTATACTTTATAATTATATTTTATATTAAGAAAAACTATATATAATATATATAAAGATTATAATAAATAACTTTCTAATATTCAATTCTATAATTAAAAATATATTTAGCTTAAGGTGTTATTATATAAAGCTTAAGAGCTAGTTAGCCCTAATATATTATACACTATACTTATAAAGAAGTTAATTAGCTATTATTTAAATATTACTTATATAAAGTAAGAATAATTATAAATCTAGATAAATAATATATTAAATAATAGTTTCTTTTTTATATACAGTTAATTTCTAGTTTTATAGTTACTAATTATATTTTATTAGTTAGCTATAATATAAATATAATAGGATTATATAAGATATACTATAGATTAATATAGCCCTTTATATACTTAATTCTAGGTTTACTTAAAGTGTATTAAGCACTAAGAAAAAATTTAGTTTTATTTAGATACTATACTATAGTTTCTATAAAAGAGAAAGAGTTATAAGGGTAGTATATATATTAGTGTTAAAAAGTAACCTAGTTACTTATATTACCTAGTTATTTTTAATCTATTTTAGTCTTTTACTAAAAGGTATTATTTATTTTACTAGCTAATATTACTTTTTAGTTTACACTAAATATTTTAAGAAAAGTATTATCTAAAGTTTACTAAAGAGCTTAAAGTAACTACAGAGATTTAAAAGTGTATTTTATATAGAATTTATATTCTTTTTAAAATACAAGGCTTTTTAAACTAAGGTATAAATATTTAATTATATAATTAATATATAGTATAGATCTTTAAATTATTATAAGGGTTACCTAATATAGTTTTTATTTTTAGTAACTATATACTAAGATATATTAGTAAATATAACTTGTATTTATATTATATTTTTTGCCTAGCACTATATAATATATATTAGTGCCTATACTAAAAATAGATTTCTAAGAACTAGTATAGAAAAGCAAGGCTACTTCCTAGAAAGGAAATAAAAGTATTAATATATTAAGAAAAAAAAGCTTAATCTAAACCTTATTTTACTATATTTTTATATAGCTAATATTAGCCTATATAACTACTAACTCTTTTTTACTACACTATAAAGGTCTTAACACTTATATAGAATCCTTGTATTTTTTTTTAGAACTCTAAAAGTAAGTACTTATATACTTTTAGCTTCTAAGCACTTTATCTTTAGTATAAGTCTACCTAAAGTATAACATTTAGTTACTAATTATATATTATATTATTAAAATACTAATAATAATAATTATATAATACCTAGTTAATTAACTATAAATAGTTTATAATTTAACGTTAAAGGGTATAGACTAGTTATTTAGCCCTTAGTTATATTAAGAGAGGATTATACTTTTAGTTACCTAGAATAACATAAGTTATACTTAGGTAGTATTTAACTACTTATATAATAATAGTAAAGTAAACCTAGTTAGTTACCTAGTAAAAAGTTAATTTACTTCTATATTATTGCTAAGTATATATATATATAAAGCCTATTTAATACTAATTAGTAGTTATATAGTAACTATAGATTAGTAAAAGTAAAAAGTTAAGTTATATTATATAAAAAGTTAGTTTATATAGTGTTTAAATATAGAAGAGCTTAAGAACTACTCTTTATTATAACTACTTATACTAAGATAAGTTATTATTTCTAGAAAGACCTAGTTTATATAGTACTTAACTATAAAAAGGCTAAAGAAATACTCTTTAATATAACTACTTATACTACTTTTCCTTATATATAATAGAATAAAAAAACTATAATCTTTTTATATATATATAAGAAGTAGGTAGTATACTACTATAAGTGTATTATCTTTATTAATAAGATATTATATAATTTAAAGTAACTACTAATATATTAATATAGAACCCTAAGAGCTAAGATAAAGAACCTACCTAAGAAGAATTTATCTTTGTATATAAAGATATATTAAAAGGTAGTAGTATTATAATTATAATATAGAGATACTAAATATTACCTTAGTACTAGACTAAATATTAAGACTTTACTAATAGCCTATCTTAGTCTCTAGAAAAAGATTATAATATACCTAGTGTATAAAATATACTATATTATCTATATAAATCTAGACTAATACTAACTTAAAGATATAATTATAATTAACTTTAAGGACTAGATAGCTAACTACTAGAAGTATATATATTATATATACTTTAAGAAGTTATTAAAAGTATAAGAACTAAGAGTATCTCTTATACTCTTAATACTT